TTCCCCCCAGCCAGCCTGGCCCCATTGGCCCAGAGGGCGGCAGACTGGTCAGACCCAACCCATGCATGAATTCATGCACCGGGCCTCAATGTAGTATATAATTCTATTTATATAAAGGTCAAAGAAGAGAAAATTAACTATATCATTTAGGGATGCATTATTACATGACACTCTAAAAGAAACTCAAAGAGGCAATTACTATCAAAGTAAGGATAGTGAGTGGTTCCCTTTGTGACAGAAACATGGTAGTAATTGCACTGACAATGTTCTATTTCTTGTCCAAAATTATGGTTACACAGTTTACATTTTGTGATACTTAATTGAGCTATGCATTTGTTTCATACACTTGTCTATATATGTGTCATATTTAATAGGTGAAAAGGGCATTTAAGGAATGCAGTTATACAGAACAATCCAAAAAACCACCCTGGAGAGAACTTCTCTTTAGTCCATGACTGTGGGGTTATATTCTTAGGCTCATACTCTAGTGATAAGTCACAAGTGCATAAAATATATTTATAGAATAAGTAATCTACTTTCTTTCTATGTGATAAAATTTGACAAATTATATTAAGTTACCTTTTACTGCACAACTTCTTACTGCATGGCATCACTTTATCATTATATACAGCTCTGCCTAACACTCCTCAATTCTCTTCATCACTAAATTTGCATCAGTATCTGAAGTGGCTATTGTTTTTGCAATGTTATAAGACATGTTTCATGAAGCTTATTTTCAAAACTCCCTAATGACCTAATAGCTGTTTTATTCATTCTCATGCCCATGAAACTCTCCTATAATGCTTTCTTAAAGGTCATTATAGCCATTGCCTCTAAATACAATTGCTCTCTTTTTGTATTTCTCATATTCAATCTCTCTGCTTGAGGCAATATTTTTTTCATCTCCAGTTTTTAAAGCATAAAACAAATTATGCTTATATTATACTTAAACTCTAACAGCTTCCCTACAGAACAAAAAACAAATTTTAAATGTGGACATCCCTGCCAACTGCACTTCCTAACATTCTTCCCAGCCTTCATGTTCTTGTGAGCACCCATTCTCACCTTTACCGGTTGTGCCGTGTGGGGAACGTGGGTCCCCCAGGAAGAGAAAGATGTACACACACACACACACACACACACACACACACACACACACAGCACAGCACACATTATTCGCTAATGCACACTTCACTTACCTTACATAGACATGTGCTCAAACTTATTGTGTCTGTAATATATAAAACAAAACCAGCACAAAAAAATGAAAATGAAATCAAATCTCATTTATAAGCCTAGATACAAAATAAAAACTATATTAACCAATTTAAAGAAGTTAGTTTTAATCAAAGAAAATGAGGAACATTCATGGGAAAGTGTGGAGAGCGGCTACAGTGTTTGGACAGGTTCAAGCCTTGGACTAATGAGAGGGCACGGTCCTCTTGTGGCAAAGCCATGTGCAAGTCTCAGCTTGGAGGGCAAAGCCCTCCCAACACAATTGTAGCCAAAGGCTATAGTTGTAAGCTTGACCTTATGGTCTGAAATTATAGTCCC